GTTGGCCATGAAAGAGAGAGAGATACTTTATTGATCCCAAGGGAAATTCTAGTATCTACTCCTATTTTGGGTTGAAAATACTGTTTTATTGCCTAAAATTGTGTTTTCAATACTAGAAATCAATATTGAGCCTTGTCCTTTTAATTTAATTAAATTTTAGTATTGTTACAGCACTACTTTGGAGTAAATCAATACAAGCTTTTAATTAAAAGTCTTTGCAGATAAATCAGAATCACCTCCAGCTATTACTGGTCTGATCATATGTAGTCATTTTTGTGCACTTTTGGAAATTTGCAAACTTCTATCCTCCAGACATTCCGATCAAGTTAATCCTTTTCTTGTGCAATTAATCGTACACGTGGAAGTCTGGACTTTGACGCAAACCCCCTTTTTCCTTCCTAATCTTTTTCTTTCATTACAATGTTCCAATAATCATTATACTATCTACCTCGCATCTCCTCATACTTTCCATTACACATGTTTCTAGGTAAGCCCCAGATTTACAGCTCTTCGCGTACATCCTCTTTGTTCCATTAGCTTGCCGAGGACGACAGGTGGCTTCTAGACCGGACAAACAGCTCCCATCATTCTCCTAGCCAACGCTCACCTGAGTTCACGCTCGCTGGGCCGCTTTAGTGTGCCAGCAGCTGTCTCCCCCGTCGCCGCGGTGACACTGGACCCAGGTGCTCGTAAGCCAGATGAAGTCATCCAGCAGTGTTCGCAGTCTAATTGACAAGCAATTCTCTGTAGGCTTTCAGCGCTCCAAACCCGCACCTGATGTCCCCAGCCCCTACATTACTTCTGGAGTGGTTAACAACAGACCTTCTCCACATCTTAAAGGACCTACATTATGCAAAATTGACTCCCGTGAGCTTTAAGCCATGTTAGAGCGATTTTACTTCCTCAAAAACGTACTTGGAATTGTATTTTGTTTCATTCACACATGTTTGAATCACTCTACGTTATTAGTCTGTCTACATCTCCCAAGTTCAAAATGCTCTGTTTGATTTTTCAAGTTTTCAACAGCTACCTTCTGCCTATAGTTCAGTAGAGATGGGTAATTCTGGGACTGAAATCATCCAAATTATTCTAGTGAAGGTGTATGGAGTTTAAAACAGAGTACTACCACATGAAATAATAAGCTTGAACAGTGTTTTATGTGTTGAGAGAAGAAGTCAAAGCCTAAAAACCTAAATATGCAAGGCATGTGTGTTAAAACTTAGAAAAAAAAAAAAAAAACACAAACAAATCCAGGTATGTTTTTGATGAGGAAACAACATTATTAGCCAGCCTGGCGCCACCTAGTGCCTCCACTCATTTTCATTTCTCTCCAGCGACTAGGTCAGGAATCGGAATACACTAGACAGTTTTGCAAGAACCCCGGAAGTTGTAGACCGCGCACCGGCCAATCAGCAAAGAGCTGTGAAGCCATGATGTCAAACTCAAGCGCTTGTCTGGGTCCCTTTGTGGTAAAGCACAACAGTAAACAAAGTGATCTAGATGGATGTAGACGAAGCTATACATTCTGTGTTGGCAACGATTCCTGAGATCAAAGATTTAAAGTCGGAACAAAGGGAATGTTTGGTGAATTTTGTCAAGGGGAAAGATGTTATTGCCCTTCTTCCTCCTGGATACTGGATTTGGTGCGTTACATACGTCACGTCCAAATAGCAGCAATTGGTTAAATAAAAAAAGTACCAGCCTACTGTCGAGCGAACAAATCCTAATGCTACAAGGTCAGATAGTTTTCATGAAGTTAAACCAGCAGGCTACAACATTATAACGTAGATCAGAAAATGGCATAGTATGGGCCCTTTAAGATTGCACAGCTGTAACTCTCTCCATCTCCACCCTGTGCAAAATGGGACGCTGTTGGCTTGATGCATATGCTTGGGTTTAATTTGTGTGTTTAAAGGCTTGCCACGGATGGTGCCAGTCGGGCGAGCACAATAGCTTTTTTCTTTTTTTTTTTTTTTTTTTTTTTTTTTTACGATGGTGACACTCCATTTGGATCGGAACGAGCTGCTCGCTGCCAGTGGAGATCTGTTGATGATGTGTTACCAAATAAAACAAGGACTACTCTCAAATCCGTGGCGCATTATAAAGTTGTTTATATGCTAACAGTGTTGACACCCAAGGCCATATGCCCTGTTGATTGTGTTATTGAGATGTCACTCTAATTTCCTGGCCATACGGGTGCAGCGAGTGGGCTTTGTGCTTTCAGGCCGGATCCTGTGGAGAACTGGCGTGACATGTAGCGCAGTGGAACTATGGTCCAAATTTGTGGTGAGGTCTTCTTCCGACCCCATGGGTTTCTGAACAGGTGGAGTGAAGCATGAAAGAAAGCAAGATGAGGGTGAACAATACTGAAAATGTGATAATGAAGAGGAGTTAAGACAGTTTAGCATGGTATAGAATGATTGGATTATTTGGTGAGGAGTAGTGAATAATTGCGGATTCGTTCAAGCAACTATTTGTCTGGTTTTCCATGGCTGAAGTTCAAAAGAATATGAGTACTGGTTATGTTCATTCTGTAGTGTTCTCTGCTTCTCAGCTTCATTGCAAATTTATCCAGCTCTCTTGGGTGATTTGCCAAAAAATACCGAGCCACATCACTTTTTTTTTCTTTTTAAATCATGATCAGTGTAGACTTGTACTTTAATATTGCCTGTAGGAGCGAGCAGATGTCAGATTGCTCAACCCTACATACTTGGTCTCTTCTTTTTCTTATTGTTCACAGTAGGTAATTTGTACTTTTTCCAATGTATGTCCAATAATTGTCAAAGAAATACATATGTATTGCATTATTGATACATCTCTCCTGTGAGAGTTATACAAGAGACAAGACCAAGGTCCTTCCTTAAACCAAAATCAGTACCAATCAGTATAATTAACATGGCGCTGAACTTTCCATATTCAAATATCAAAGGCCTACTCCACGTTTTTTCACCCCCCCTTCGGAGCTTAACCCTTCAAAACATCATTCATTATTAACTGGGACCCTGTGACTCAAGGCCAGGCAGAGTTCATCGCTATGAAAAAGACATAAAGACCGCCATTGATGCCAAAGCTCTAAAACCATGAAACCATATTTAAAAAGCTGCTCCAGTCTGACCCTTCACCCCCGCGCTGCCATACTTGTCTATTAATCGTCCATTCTTGACGCGGTTTGAAAAGTCTGATCCACTTTAAATGGAGACGGGACCCGGCCCACGAGGATCTGGCAGGGACAAAGACCACTTCTGAAACCCCTGATCTGGTGGTCCCATTCAATGACAGAAGCATATTGAGAAGTTTTAACATTTAAAAGCAGTGGCCATCTTGTTAGCAAACCGTGAAATAGCGCCCTCCCCTTTCCCCATTATGTCTGCGGACCCCCCCCTTTCCCATTTGTTAGGGAGCTCAATGAAGGGGCATTCTTCTCCCACACAAAAGCAGTCTTCAGGATTTCTTCTGTTATTGATCTGAATAGTTTGGGAGTGAGGGGCTAAACTTTCGACATCTGGCTCTTTGATGGGAGCGGGGTGCAGGGTGCTGGTGGGTGCTGGTGGGTGCCCCGGGTGCTATGTGTCTGGTGATGTGAAGTGGGGAGTTTTCGGGGGGAACTTTTGTTTCTCTTTGTAAGTGCTGGCTTCGTATTTACTGGGTTGCAACAATGGTGGCGCAACAAGTAATTTTTCTTCAGTCTTTAACAATGTGTTCAATAAAAGGCTGTGTTGTGAACGTGCGGACTGCTGCCAAGTTAAATGTAACCAACTGAATCTAGTGTAAACAGTGCAAGCAAATGATTAAAAACTGCTGTTTATATTGCATATTTAACTATATTGATATATTCATTGCCTCTATAGCTGTTTGACCTCAATTTGACTTCCACCATTTTCCCACACTTGAATGAAAACAGCAGTACTCCTACTTTTTTACTTAAGTAAATAGTAAATGCTCCTAAATACACAGAAAAAATATATATTGTAGGTAAACATTATTGATGAGAAAGACGTGCTACCGTAACTGTTAATACTGCCATTACTACAATTACTTCTACGACCGAAATATCGTGATATCGTATCATCAAAGTTCTCACAATAATATCGTGGACCGTCACAATATATCAAATTACAAGTCTCTTTGCTTAAATTAAGAGTTATGGTGCAGTAATAGCTAAAAAAAAAGACGGAGGGAACTACATAGACCATGATCCTTTGCTCCATTTCAGTGCAGACTACATGAAGAAATAACAGTTCTAAGCACTTTGAAGTCTTAGTTCTTTGGATTAAGTCTTGTCAGGGCATTTTAAGAGGAAAAAGTAGCATATTAACAGTTTGTTAGCCTCCATAAAATATCGCAATAAATATGGTAACATGAATTGTATATCATAAAAATATCGTACCGAGAGATTTGGATATCGTTACATCCCTAACTGTGAGCCTTCCCACCATATCGTGAGCTTTCCCACGATATCACAATAAATATCGTACCGTGACAATATCATATTGTGAGACTTGGATATGGTTACAGCCCAACTACCTCTACTACTATAACAGCTTCTACTACTGCTTAATGCTATTACTACTATTACTTATACTATTACTACTACTGCTTTTACTGCTATTACTACAACTTTTATTTAACGGAAGCCCTATTGAGATTCAGAGATTCAGGTAGCAGCCAATGCAATGAACTACTGCTACTGTTAGTGCTTCTGCTACTGCTATTACTACGATGAGGCCTACTGTTAGCTTTATATTCCATCTCACTTTGCCATCAAGTGGAAAATTAACTTTTTTATTGAAATAGTGAACTCATTTTTAACTTAAACACAAAAGCGTACTGTGTTCACCTCTGGCTTTCCACACTGTACAATGTTGCTCTTGGTAGTTATTGTACGTTTCACTGCTTTGAAATAAACCAGCTCGTCCTGTTTTGAATTTGCGTCCATCCGTCGCATTGGCTCTGGTTTTTCCGCCCTCCGTCTGACCTCCTCCCTCCTTCTCTCCCCGCAGACCTCCGAGAGACGAAGAGCCCTGCCATGCCCGGTTCGCCTGTGGATGCTAAGACTCATTCCAGATCAGCCCCCAGCCTCAGTGCCAGCTCCAGCATGCCCCCCCTGCCCTCCGTCAACCCCAGTGGCCCCCGCCCGGCCTCCTTCTCCACCACAGCGTGTAAGTGCCAGTCTCGTTCTTTTACTACTGTTTCACTTAGTCAGTCATTTTGGGCTGTTAACCAGAGCGGTAATGGGCAACAGTAGAAGTATTACCAGAAGTGTGGTGTTGACATATCTATCCAAGTTCAGTGGGCATGTTTTAATAGAATTGGTTTGTTTGGTCTGTTCTCTTGGTTTTCAAAGCCTATTCATCAAAATTATATAGTAAGAACCTGTCATGTACTCTGTTTTGATTTTAAATTACATTGGACTACTCTGAATGAAATGAGTCTAATAAATATTATGTCAACTCTTTCCACCCATTAATTTGTGTTGATTCAAAGCACTTCTTTTAAAGCCAAGTGCCACCTGCTTGTTTCTATGGAGATGTTATTGCTTTGCCTCAAGTGTTCCATAGTACATCTTTAACCTTGCATATCTCCATGGACTCAAGGAGTAATCCAGGTCAAATCTGAAGAGAGGCGACCCCGATCACACTAAAAATGCCTGTTTTTCAAGGTATTATTTTAGCAGTAAAAGCCCTGTAATTGATTAAATTGATTAAATACAAAATAGTTTAGTGTAAGGACATATGGTGGAACATTACAGGCAGAGGCGGTGCAATCATTAGGCAAAAGTGGGGGGGCTGCCTAGGGCCCCAAACCTGGAGGGGCCCCCAACCAATTGTCCTCAGTGCTACTAATGGCAGAGGCCTCAGAGCAATTTAATTTTGATTTTGAGAGTAGTTTACTTTTAACCAATAATCATAAGAAATATAATAATAATCACGTGTAACGGATATAAACAAAGATGTAATTGTACTAACTTTCAGCTCTGGTTATCTAGTAGGCTGCCAAACTAATAAGACAAGTTTCCAATCCACCATAATTCAAATAAATAAAAATGTGCATGTCCCAAGAACAGTGGGGAAAAAACAATAACTATATTTAAAACAACAGTGCATTATAGTGAGGGCCCCAAACTCAAGTTCGCATAGGGCCCCCAAATTGCTAACTCTGCCACTGATTACAGATAAAGCAGTAAACATCTCTTAGGAGGTGGTGTGTCCCATGAGATAAGTTACATAGTGCAATTTACTTTAGAAATTAAGCAACAACAAAAAAAAAATAGATAAGAACAAAAACCCTCCCACACCTCTCTCCACATTCAACACATACACTAAACTACACAAAAAATACTGGGTACACAAACGAATGTCAGTCCAAAGCAAATATTCTTATCTGTCCATATCTGTTTGAAGTCCACAACATTCCTGTTCTTGAGTGTAGTTTTTATATCAAAAAACTATTAAAAAGCACATTTCTGAACCTACTCCTTACTCCTCCAGTGACTAATGGAAACCACCACTCCCCGCCAACCCTGAACGCGGTGCCGTCTCCACCTCAGCGCTATAGCAACGGTCCATCCTCTTCCTCTTCCTCGTCACTGGCCAACCAGCAGCTGCCTGCCACCTGCGGGGCGCGCCAGCTGAGCAAACTTAAGCGCTTCCTGACCACGCTGCAGCAGTTTGGCAACGACATCTCCCCCGAGATCGGAGACAGTGTCCGCAGCCTCGTCCTGGCCCTCGTGGTAAACCTAAGATCATTATATATGTTTTTATGGTTATTTATTTAGGCAACAGGATTACTGCAACAACAAAAAAAAAAATCTATATGAGCAGCACTGTTGAGAAACATGATCTGCAATAATGGCCATGTTTGTAGTTTTATGGTTATTTATTTAGGCTGATAATATTGAAACCAAATTATTCTTCTGACACAATAACCCACAATAGCAGGATTATTGAAAAAAAATAAATAAATAAAAAATCTATATGAGCAACATTATTAAAACAAACAAAAAAAACATGACCTGCAATCAGTGGTAGACTGTAATAAAGTCAAAATAATAAAGCACTGTACTTAAGTAAAAATTGTCTGTTCTTTACTTAAGTACATTTTTAATGCATACTTTTACTTCACTCCATTTGAAAGAAGGATATCTTATATCTTATATGTCTGTACTATCTACCTCACTAAAATTTTCAATTGGACTGAAAAGTAATAAGAGGGTTTATTTGTAACTTGTAAATAGATTGAGCAAACAAAAACATAAAAAAAAATTATAAAAGCTCATTCAGTTTAGCTTTATTAGATCACAAAAACTGTGCGAAATACTTTTACGTTTTACTATTTGAGTACATTTTTGAACAGATTTTTTCATGTATTTTTTGCTCCTGTCTCTGTACTTTTACTTAAGTAACAAAATTGTGTACTCCCTTCACCACTGCCTGCAATGAATTAAACACTTTAGTAGTTAGTTTGCATCCACATAGTGAGTCATAGATGTTATCAACCCTCTACAGCTCAAATCTTATCATAGTACTGGAACATCCTGTTACTAAAACTTGTACCACAGTTGTACAAAGAAAAAGTGCTCAAAAACTCCCCAAAATATTCTTCCAGGTATCATATATTGAATGATAAGTCAATTTGGTAATTATCATGACCAGCCTGTATTAATTTATTTTATTTCTTTCACCTAGAATTCAACAGTGACCATTGAAGAGTTCCATTCGAGACTCCAGGAGGCCACAAACTTCCCCTTAAGACCATTCGTTATCCCTTTTCTCAAGGTAAGGCTCCAGGGCTGGGCAGTATACCAAAACTGTATCATGATATTGGAACAATCTTGAATTTGATTTTATTTGATCTTCCTGAAGAAATTTCCCAAACATAAACAATTTGCAATTTATTACAATTTAACGCAAACACAAGGATCAAATTTCTAACTCACAATACAGTATGACCTCTGCTCCAAATTACATGCTTTTACTGACAGGAGCTGGCCGTAGATTCAAAACAATATTATTATATCAACTGGATTGTTATGACCTAATCATATTGTATTGCACTTTCTTACCCCAGTGAGTAAAAAATGAACTGTAGATGTTAAGATAAAAAAGACCAACGCTTATCTTTGACAATTAGAAATGACTCAATCTTGGTTAAAGATGCACTATGTAACTTGTTGGTTTCTTGTTTCTATGGATATGTCCACAGTATGACATTAAACTGCTCTACCTTACATTTAAAAAGTTGCAGGTGGTTTTATAGCTTAAAAAAAAACAGGCATTATGACAAAGCAATGAGTCTAAACGGAGAAAAGCATATGATGGACGCTCCACCATAAAAGTTACACAATGCACCTTTAAATCATGATTAATTGCAAATCCCCAGTTTCCTATATTCATCAGGCTAACATCATCTCACCATATAAATCTTCAAACCGTATACTTACTGTTTATCCAGCGGTCTTTCTAAATGCTGCTCCAATGAGGTCAGCTGATGTCAGCACTGTGGCATCCATTGGGTGCCGTGTAGAATCATAAACCATAAAGCCTTATTAACCACATAATCACTGTTGGTTTGGATGGGCTAACATTGCCTCTTCTTTTTCCCCATAGTCATAAATTTAAATATGAAGGTATGTTTTTGAGATGAGCCCTTGAAAAACAATTCTCCATCTTGAAAAGTTGATGATTTGAATGGTTACTAAAAAAAAAAAAAGTTTAAAATAGTTAAAAATATATATTGTGGGTTACCTTTGAGCTGGACTATGACAAAAAGGAACACTTTTTTTTTTTCTTTCATTATGAACTTCTAGCCAGGCTGGTGCCACCTAGTGCCTCTGCTCAATTTCATTTCTCTTCAGCAACTAGGTCAGAAATCACAATACACTAGACAGTTCACAAAAACCCCAGATGTGCGAGTTAGTGCACCAGCCAATCAGCAAAGAGCCATACATTCTGTGTTGGCAACGATTAACGAGATCGAGGATTTAAAGCTGAAACAAGGAGAATGTTTGGTGAATTTTATCAAGGGGAAAGACGTTATTGCCCTTTTGCCTACGGGATTTGGGAAAAGCTTAATATACCAGATAGTTAGCGGCGCATTACATACATCACGATCAAATAGCAGCGATTTGTTAAATAAAAAGTACCCTCCTACCGTTGAGCGAACAAATTCTAATCCTGCGAGGTCAGACAGTTTCTATAAAGTGAAACCGGCTCATGAATCAGGCTAATGAACTTCCGATTTCCATTTAAATTTTCTTTTGTATTATCAAAAGTAAAAATAAATATGGCTTTCAATATTCATTTCATAAACAGTACAGACTTAATCATTGCTATTTAACAAGACAAAATGTCACGTTTCTTCCTTCGAAATGGCTGTAAATCATTCCATTAAACATACCCAATCGCATCATCATTGACAACAATAAATGCCTCAATATTAATTAAAATTTTAGTAACTGCACAGCTCTAGATTATTTTAGTGCAACTTTAACCATCGACCATTAAGTGCCTATTAGTTTCAAAAGCCTGTTAACCTCTTTACCTCGCCAGTAGCTTTTTAGCAGCTTCCCTTATTAAAGAGGAGTGTAAATCTTTGACTAAGTTGAATGGCCATAAATTTAAGGGGGTTTTTTGTTGTTTTTTTTTTTCTTTTTTTTTCCACATTTACCTCTTTCTCACCTTTGGCGCGCCTCCATGTGTCTGTCTAGTGCGAGACAAACAACCCCTGTTCCCCTGCTTTGGGCTAATTTATTACCAAGGGGAGGGGCGCACCAAACTTAATGCCAACTCTGTAAGAATAGCCCGTCTTAAGGCAAAGAAAGGGGGCGGAGTCGAGCGGGGTATAGACAGATGGGATGGAGACAGGGGGTGAGGAAGTGGAAAACAGGAGAGGGAGAGAGGAGGGGGAAGAAGGAGCTAGGAAGTGTGAAACATGCCTATAAACTGTCCCTTCCATGTTTTTAAGTGCCACGGTGTACGCCATATGGTGCTTCTGTCCTGTTAACAGAGCGTTCAGCTGCCAACGCAACGCCATTTAACATCCACCCCGCCGAACGCCAACGGCGCACGTGCCCGGTTTTAGTTTTGTTGACAAATATGCTTCAGCAAATTGTCTTTTCAATTATTTTAATCAGACAGGTTTTAGTTATATAGTTTTGTTAGTGTCACGTTTTTGCTGGCGGAAAATTTAATAACAAAAATGCAGTTAGGTATGAGTTCAAATTTATTTTTAATCGACATTGGTTTAAAGTTTCGCTGTGTAACTTTTCTAGAAGAGCGGATGCCACCTGCTTGTATTATTGCTTTGCGTGTCATTTTAAACGTTATATTAATCTTATCGATCTCCATGGAGACGAGCAAGTGACGCCACCAAGCCACATTGCGAGTCAGATCTGCGGAAATGAGAGCCCTCTCGCAGTATAGATGCATGTTTTTCGAGGTATTTTTCGAGCAATAAAAATACCTGCACCTGACTGAATAGATGCAAGCTAAATTAATTTAATGCCAGACTGTAGAACATTAGGCAAGGCTTTGATATCTCCATGGAGACAAATAGGTGACTCCAGAAAAGTCACTTGGTGCATCTTTAAATGTATTTTTTTTTAAGAGAAAGAGCATTATTTGAGAGCCTACACAGACTCCCTAAGGTGCATTGTGTGTTTTGTGGTGGAGGGTATGCCATGTTTTTGTCTTTAGGGAGATGTTATTGTTTTGACTGTATGTTCCACAGTATGGCATTAAAAGTCTATTCAGCCTTTTTCATTAGAGATGATTTCATTGTTCAGAAATCCCGTTAAGAACTTGCATTCTTAGGTGAATGAACTTGGCCTGCTTGTTTATTTAGATAAGTTTAATGCCTTACTGTGAAACATCCCAGGCTTAAAAGTTAAGCATGTGGCGCACCGTCCCCAAGAAATGTTACGCAGTGCACCTTTATCTAAAACTAGACTAAAGCATGTTATTTCACTAAATATTTCCTAAAACTTAATTAGGTTGTGAAACTTAACACTGGCGCATCCACGGGGCCCCAGGGAAGAGACGGGAGACGAGCCCAATAAACCAAAGAGGTGCTACCCAAGTCCATACCCTTACCACACGTTCATCACGAATGGTATAAGACCAGTTTTGATTTAACGCAGGCGTCTGATTGCGTTGCCAGATTATGATGAGTTACAGCCTCGGTTACATTTGGAATCGTTGTGGAGAAAAAACAAAGTCAGATTTACTGGAAAGGGGAGTGTTGCGTGCACGTTTACACAATCTTCTGGTCGGGATGCTTGTAAAGAAATGGAGATCACATGGAGCACAGGACGCGTATCTAGCCAGCAGAGGAAAGCAAGGAGCGAGGAAGTCTGTAATTGCAAACACACTGTGCTTCTGCTCCTAATTATGGAAATGCGGGAAGCGATGGAGGAGATAGGACAGAGACAGCCAGATCTAAATATTCACAAACGACTACGTGAAGTGTTGTTTAGATACACTTTGTTCTATCAGGTTTTGTGCTTTGCGCGGTTAGAGCTGGACATTGTCGATCGGTAATGGTTTTGGAGCTGTTCGAGAAGATGTTGGCTGTTTTGGCTAAGTAACAGTCCTCTTTTGTAAACTTACAGATTTGAAGTAAATTTGATTATTGAATGATCTCATAGTTGAAACTTGAAATAACTGACCTCCCCGAAGTGGCTTGTTTTGGTTGTGTATTTAAATTGCAGTATCATGACATTGTAACATTAACAGCCTGTGGTGTATTTGGCTAGAAGATTACATGGTGGGGCTTTAATGTTTTTATTGAAATGAAAACATAGAAAAACATGTCCTTACTGTGACATGCATCTCCACAAACGTGACTTGGCCAAAAGGAGGCCTCATCCTACTGAATTCCATGGAAATGTTCATTTGGCTGTAGTAGTCACATAAAACATTTATTTCATTTTTTATTGGAGATTATTCCAAATTACAGTTTACAATTTTGATGATTACTAGACCTGTCAAATTGAGACAAAAACTGGAACAAATTTGAGAAATGACCTATTCTGTCTATTTGTAATAATTACGTTTTATAACTCTTAGTGATATAACAATAACCGAAGTATCATGATATCGTATCGTCAAAGTTCTCACAAGAATATCGTGGACCATCACAATATATTGAATTACAAGCCTCTTTGCTTAAATTAAGAGTTATGGTGCAGCATTAGCTGGGGAACTACATATACCATGATCCTTTGCTCCATTTCAGTGTAGACTATAATAGATAATAGAAATAACAATTCTAGGCACTTTTAAGTTTTAGTTCTAGCGTATTCACAGTTTTTTTTGCCTCCACAAAATATCGCAATGAATATCATATCGTGAGAGATATATCATGAAAATATTGTATGACAGATTTGGATATTGTTACATCGTGAACCTCCCCACCATATCGTGAGCTTTCCCACGATATCGCAGTAAATATCGTACCGTGAGGTTCATACTGTGACGATATTGTGAGACTTGAATATCGTTACACCCCTAATAACTCTAGATTACAGTGATTACAGCTTAACCAATCCAGTCTTTCTTTATTTTTGTAGGCCAATCTCCCATTGCTTCAGAGAGAGCTGCTCCACTGTGCACGTGCAGCCAAACAAACCCCAGCCCAGTACCTGTCCCAGCATGAGCACATCCTCCTCAGCACCACCCTGGCCTCCTCTCCAGACTCCTCCGAGCTGCTGATGGAGCCGCCAGAGCCTGCGCCCAAAAGACCCAGCCCCAGCAGGTCTGAACGGTTTATATAAGTGATAAAGTGATGTCAGTATCTTGTTGAAATAGGCCAAGTGTAGAGTACTTTGTCAAATCTAGATTGAATGAAAGAGTTTAATCATGGACTACTATTACTACTCTTACTGATACTACTACTACAAATTTAACTGCTACTACCAATATTCTATATATCTACAATTACATGCTATTTCTACTCTCACTTCTACTGCTACTACGATTAATACTACTACTACTACTGCTACTACTACTACTACTACTACTACTGCTACTGCTACTGCCACTATTATTACTGCTATTACTACTACTGCTACTACTGCTGCTACTACTACTACTGCTGCTATTACTACTCTACTGCTGCTGCTGCTGCTACTACTACTACTACTACTCCTACTACTGCTCCTACTACTACTACTACTACTACTACTACTACTACTACTACTACTACTACTACTACTACTACTACTACCTACTCCTGCTACTACTACTGCTACTGCTCTACTACTACTACTACTACTACTACTACTACTACTACTGCTACTACTACTACTACTACTACTACTACTACTACTACTACTACTACTACTACTACTACTACTACTACTACTACTACTACTACTACTACTACTACTACTACTACTACTACTACTACTACTACTACTACTACTACTACTACTACTACTACTACTGCTACTACTACTACTACTACTACTGCTACTACTACTACTGCTACTACTGCTGCTGCTACTACTACTACTACTGCTGCTACTACTACACTACTGCTGCTGCTGCTACTACTACTGCTACTGCTGCTGCTTCTGCTACTACTACGACTACTGCTACTACTACTACTCCCACTTCTACTACTACTACTACTACTACTACTACTACTACTACTACTACTACTACTACTACTACTACTACTACTACTACTGCTGCTGCTGCTATTACTGCTCCTACTAAGTCTACTACTATTACTGCTATGCTACTACTATTTCTAGTACTGCTTTTACTACCGGTGGTACCACTACTACCTACCTTATGACTTCTGCTATCACTGTTACTGCTACCACAACAACAACTACTGCAACCATACCCTCAGCATCTGCAACAACTCACTGTATTTCCCCCTCCCATGTAGAGTCAAAGAAAACGGTTTCCACGAGCGACCGCCCCCGTCCTCGCTGGAGCCCGCCGCCAAGCGCATCTGCACCATCAGCCCCGCTCCCCGGCACAGCCCTGCCCACCCACTGCCCCTCAGCTCCCAGCTCCACCCCACCCCCCCCACCCCTGCAGCACTACGCCCTGGACGACATCGCAGCTCCACACATCCTCCACCGCGAGCACAGCCAGCGCATGCTCGAGACCAGGGACCTCAAGGATCGACCCAGACTGCCTGGTATGTCATGTGGCACGCAGCCAAACCACACATGGGTAAACCTGGCACAAACACACTGCTATCTTATTTAGGGAGATTCGGGGAGGTCTGGGGAAATGGCTACGATATTGGTTTTAGATTTCTGGAGTGTTCTGAACGGTTGTACTGTCCAAGCTTTGGTTGGTTGGTGAGGTTGGTTAGTGTTTGGTCGGAGGAGGAAGGGGGCATCACCTACATCAGGGATTCCCAAACTTTTGAGGTTGGATTTCCAAAATAACTGTGCTGAAAACTGGGAATCCCACAGCAAACTAAGTGTTGCTAGTAATAGTTTCAGCTTGGGAAAAAAATATCTATAAAAATCTGGTTTAATATAGTTTATTTGAATAGTTTACTGTGTTGTTGGACCAAATTTGGACCAAATTATACACTTATATTTACATACAGTGTCAAATTATATCTCAAGAACATCACATAACTCTGAGCTCATGTATGTCAACTCCACTTTGGGAACCATTATCCTACTAGACAATACTGAAAAAGTAGTTTTAAAGGCATGCACCATTGTCACAAAGTAAAAATGGACATAGGAAGTGAGAATGGGGGTACTTTGGGCTCCAATTAACTTTGTAGAAATGTTACTCGTCCCTCTTTAACTGCTGCTGTCAGGCTCTTCATTTTTGTCTTAAAATCTCATATTAACTTGCTCTACATGATCCTGATGATTTTTATTTCACCATTTTGTCTGTAGATCACTTGCTATTCCTAATATGGAACTCAGCGCCAAATTCGCCCTATAACTGCCAGCTTTGTGAGCTTCATTTGACTTCACACTCTCTTAGTCGCCTTTTATGAGAGTAATATTTTAAACTCTGGTATTGGGTAATTAACCGAATTAATCCACAGCCAAAGCTAAACTGCATGAGGTCAACCATTTTTAATTGGAAAAATATACTTAATTTACAGTGTAATTTGGGCTCATTTTGGATTAATTGCAAAAACATGATCCAGTAGTTGTTCATATTTTCAACCCTTACTCCTTATCACATCCATTTTATAGGAAAAAATATCCTTATAAGTGCACTATGTAGCTTTGCTTGTAATGTCGTATTAAACTTAACTATCTCCACATAAATAAGCAGGAGATGCCACCAAATCTAAAGATACCGGTCAGATCTGTGCAAAAATCACATGTTTGTGCAGATCTAAGCTACAGGGTTAGCAGTTTTTTGAAGCAGAATAAGACAGGATATTTTGTTGTTGTGGAGGAAATTATGGTACTTCAAAAATGTCTGTGTAATTTGGACTCATTTCTGCAAAAAATATCATCCAATAGTCATTCATATTTTCAAACTCTACTCAGGCCTGTGTCTAGCCTCTACTTAGGTCTTGTTGTCAGCACACATGAGGTCAACCATCCAATAGGAAAAATATGTTTAATTTACAGTGCAATTTGTGCACATTTCAGATTGCTTGTAAAAATGATCCAATAGTCATTCATAGGGATATAACAATAACCGAAATATCGTGATATTGACAGAGTTCTCGCAATAATAGCATGGACCATCACAATATATCGAATTACGAGTCTCTTTGCTTAACTTAAGAGTTATGGTGCAGCAATAGCTAAAAAAGACAGAAGGAACTACATAGACCATGATCCTTTGCTCTTTTCAGTGTAGACTATAAGAAGAAGTAACAGTTCTAAGCACTTTTAAGTTTTAGTTCTTTGGATAAAGTTTTTCAAGGCATTTTAAGAGGAAAAAGTAACATATTAACATTTTTTTTAGCCTCCACAAAATATTGAAATAAATATATCGTGAGATGTATATTGTGAAAATATCGTACCGAGAGATTTGGATATTGTTACATCCCTAGTTATTCATATTTTCAACCTCTACTCAGGCCTGTGTCTAGCCTCTACTCAGGTCTTGTCTTGTGTGCACACGGTGGGAACAGCAGTAGCCCTCTCCCGCTAACACACAGCTCCACACCTTGATATGTTCCTGCTGGAGGTGGTGTGTTTACGAGGCTGCAGTCCCTGGTCCGACAGCCTCCCGACTGCCTGCCGCCACTTAACTCATAGGAGCACACACACGCACATAAACACTTCACTTTGAACTGATCAACACTGATGAGAACCAGAAGTCCAGCGCCGCCAACGGAGAGCTAGCTACTTTGTGTTTAGCGCCGTTATTCTCTTCAGATGGTCGCTCACATGCCTCGTGTTAGCATTTTAAGACGGCGGTTTGGACCATGGCAACGTGCGTGCTTTCGTCTTCGAACAAGAAGCTTTGAGGTCACTGGCACCAGACATGGCCTGTCATGGGAAGAAATGTATCTGTAATTGTAGCAAAATCAGTAATAACTAGAAAACTCAATCTCCACGTGAAATTACATGTGCTGTACCTCATTTTTTACGGTCTTAATAAGCAGAGTAGCTCATTTTAAACCATTTGGAATTGCACAAACTTACTCTTCGCTTTCCTAGCACATTCCTAGCATCCTAATTATTCACCGCATTGAGTTTATAAGCACTTTTCACAACTTTCAGAGGCCAGAGAATAGTTTTATTCTCACGCCATTGCTAACAACAACAACTCTAGACTTAGACAAACTTCCAAAATAATTTCCTTTGTGGACCCAGTAGCTCACACATCACAATATATTATAATAACAATAAGTCAAAATATAAATGGTAATAAAAAAGTAGCAAAAATAGCAAGAAACTGGTGTCTAATAATTATGTGTATATGTACAAGTAAAAATAAAAGATAGAAATATATTAATACAAGTATATCTCAGCTTCATACAAAAGGTCGTAAGGAGAAACAGTCCAAAGATAGGTTGACCAGACGTCCCTATTTACCCGGGACTGTCCCAGTTCTGAGGCCTGTGTCCTCTGTCCCAGCAGATTTATCCAAAACCAGTGATTTGTCCCAGTTTTATAGAAGAAATGTCCCAGATGTCCCTATTTTTGACCAATCTGATTCCTGCCAACAGTAAAGAGAGGCATTTGTTTATGTAAAATACAGAAAAACTGCTTAAAAATGATCAAAACACAAAGAAAATGTGACTGTACTGACTCACATTAGTGCCGAATGCATAACAATTTTCCTTAATTACGCAATCGTTTTACAATTTTATTATTACCAACCAGCCCAACCCAGAGATGTCCAGGTTTTTTTTATTTTGAAAATCTGGTCACCCTATCCAATAATGAAATAATGGTTGAAGGAACAGAGGGTTATTTATTACGTAAGGGTATGAATGTGGTCCTAGCATGCTAACAGTTCACTAGCCTAACTTCCTGGTTCACGGAGGATAAATATGCTTTATAACTGGACAAAGACAGCACACAGTGGTCATGTTTTGACCTTAATCGCTTGCTTTTAGAATAAATCTGTACTTAAGTAAAACAAATGTTACTTTATCACATAAAAAAAATCAAGTACAGTGAGGTTTTGGAGTTTACTTCCATACATTAGCTTTAGCTCCAGTGTAGTTCTCTTAGTATGCTACCGTGTGCTAGTTAATATATTCAATGTGCTGGCTAATATCTGTGTTTTTGATTTATTTTTTATGTATTTTTATTGGTTTTATTTGTTTATTGCTATTCTATGATTTTGCTCTTATTTTATTTTACTGGTTTTATTATTTTAAGACTAGTATGATTATTTTAGTAGTTTATTTTATTATTTTATTATTGTTGTTATTATTATGTATTTGTGCAGCACTTTGGAAACTGTTAGAAATAAAGTGGATTGGATAATATATTAAGCTATCATAACTGGACAAAGATGCCACACAACTGTCTCGTTTTGACCTTAATAACTGCTTTTACAATAAATCTATACTTAAGCAAGACAAATTTTACTTTATTACATAAAAAAAAAATAAATAAATCAAGTACAGCCAAGTTTAGGAGTTCACTTGCATACATTAGCTTTAGCTCCAATGTAGTTCTCTTTGTATGCTACTGTGTGTGAGCTAATATATTCACTGATGACATGCACTGCTGACAGCCTAGCTCCGTGCGCGATCCAAAATAGACCTCATTCTTAACTGGATTTGGTAAGCCAAAAAAGCCTGATGCATTTTGATGACACTTTGAAGTCTATGTTAACTTATATTACAACACAAAATACTTGCTGATTACACGGTTTCCCATGCAACAGAGGACAAAAACGCACGCCCTGCATTTAACTGGCTCTCGTTAAATGTACATGGTAGCGATGGCCCCAGCAGTGAGATTTCTTGAACGCCTGGTTGTGTTTAGGAGTAGAGCCGCACCACTCAGTCTCAGTGTCTCCCAACTGGAATGCTGTGAGCTACAGGAGGGAGGGAGGAGAAGACCATAGGGACCCTGTATACTGCAAATGTGTGTGTGTGTGTGTGTGTGGGGCGGACAGCTGACTTCCAGATGTGCTAGAGCTCTCTGGGTGCTGCGAATCTGGTTTGCATCATAGGTCCCTCTCTCATTTCTGTTTTTTGCGAGCCACCTTTGTTGCTCGCTAACCCCCAGCCCATCCATCCTTTTTCCACTAGGACCGCACGATTTTGGAATGTATTTAATTGCAATTTTTCAGTATTTGAGATTAGATTAGATTTAAATAATAGGATTCTGGTCAAAGTTCACATTTAAAGATGACAAATGAATACAAGAATCACATCACAGAACATATTTTTACAGATCTACACTACAGGGTTAGCAGTTTTTTAAGCAGATTGAGATGATAACATATCCATTTTATAGGGGAAAAATCCTTAAAGGTGCACTATGTAACTTTTCTCCTACATGGAAACAAGCAGGAGATGCCACCAGACCAAATACCTGTCAAATCTAAACTACAGGGTTAGAGTTTTTTCTTTTTTTTTAACAGAATAAGATTGGATATTTTTATTGCTGTGGAGGAAGTTATGGTAGTTTAAAAACTGCTGCCATTGCCATTTGCAAATTGCATCCATTCAAAATTAATTTCAATTCAGTTGCGATTGCCGTCCAATTTTCCACTCTTACTTTGTCACAAGGTTGTAATATACTCACAACAGGACACATAAGTAGAGTTTTGGACATTGCATTATATATAAAATGATCTACTGAGTCAATTGGTGCTTGTTCCTGTTTTTCATGAGTGTTGCGTTCATGGGAAATTGGTTAATTGCGCAATTTACACTATTTACAAGTTGGTGGGAGGTACATGTGCGTGATTCAGTGACCGCAGTATTGGCTACTACTTCTTGTTGATGTAATTTGGATTGAATTCCTTCCACAAAACAGTTCCTACAGTCCGGTTGTGCAATTAATCAAATTTAAATTAGGATTTACAACTAGCTCAAGACTATTAAAACTATAGTAACAGTTTTATAGCCATATAGCTTTACTCTACTGACAGAGTTGGATTAGATTTTCTGTATACTGTTAAGTATTTTAATAGTTATTTACCTTGATTTCTTATTCTCCTGCTGTTCTTGGACTTTGCATTGCAATTTTGTAACTGTAAATTCCTCCACTGAGAGACAAATAAAGGTTTATTTTATCTAAAAAATGTTTATAATTTAACTACTCTAAATGCTATGGGTACTTACACTGCTTCACAAAATTGTATCTGCGATTTAAAACACAAATATATTCATTCTCTACATAATAATTATTTGAAACTAGGATTTTTTTTCAGTTATGACTTATGAAATTATTGTGGTTATGTTTTATTTGCACTGTGTAATTTGGAGAGTTCGTCACTTGCTTGTCTCCATGGCGATGTGCTAAAATGTTCCACAGTATTGCCATAAACTTAAGAATTTCTATGGAGACTTGCAAGCCAAATTACAGGATAGGTTTGTGGAGACTCGACCCCACAATGTTTTCTGGCAATAAATAAAACCTGTATTTGAATAAATGCAAGACATATTGTGGACAATTTGGAAACAAACACATTGCGGACCCACTCCAGAAAAGTTACACAGTGCACCTTTAATCAAGCAATATTACCCGACACATTACAACCATATGAAAACAAAACATCAGCACGCCCTAAAGTCCTGAGCTGATAAGACAAGATAACATTTCAATTGTCACTTGTGGACTGAGCTGCAGTTTGGAGGAATGTTAATGACACTGGCCTGGGCTTTGTCTGTGTGTGTTTTTTAATCAGGCACAAACGGAGCCTACCGCGAGGAGCCAGTGGACCACCGGCTGACAGACCGCGAGTGGGCAGACGAGTGGAGACATCTGGATCATGTACGTCAGCAGACAAGTGCCGATGCCCAGGTCTAATTTGTACAAAGCTAGGCCTGTTATAATGATGTTACTATAGCGATGCATTGTTCAGTGTGTGAAAGATGGATTAGCTTTGGTTCTGTATTTATCGCATTTACCATAGCTTTATTGTGGATTTAGTGGGGAGATTTTTGTTTACGAAGGAGGACTTAGAATATATCACATTTTCATTACAGTCCTACTCAAATCACATGACAGAATATAACACTATAACCTAATTTTTGTGTTTTGCAGGTGTTGAACTGCATAGTAGACATGGTGGAGAAGACGAGACGGTCAGTAGCTGTTCTGAGGAGGTGTCAGGAGTCAGACCGCGAGGAGCTGAACTACTGGAGGAGGAGGTCCAGCGAGCAGGAAGATCCCCGGAAAGGTGGCTCAGGATCGGCCCCCTTCTCCAAAGCACACAGCCCCCACACAGACTCTGGTAAGTGGAGTTCTAAATGGATTTTTTTAAGTACAGCTACAAAAGTATTGCAGCAGAAAAACAAATAAAATCACATAGGGTCAAAAGTATAGAAAATCTGATTCTAATCAACTAAAATTAGTCTCATTTGAGCAGGTATCGATACTAAAAAAAGTCACATTCAGGACAAAAATGAACCTTTTAATAGCTTTAGAATGATCTTGAGCTGTATCAAAATCAGGATTACACAGCAGTATAAAAGAAAGTGCTGTTATTTATTGTTGCAAATCACATTCTATTGTCTAAAGAAAGAATGTTTTTATTATTATTCATTATCATCACTCCAAATTTTAGTATCGTGACAACACTAGCCAATACATGCCATTCCAAAATGACACTGGATAACATAATCCCCCAGAGGAGCAAAACTGTTTAAAAATAGTCTAGCAAAAGTATGATTCCAGCCAAGACTAGAGCTCAATGCCCCGTCTAGTGGCCAGACTCGGTACTGCATACATGCGACAGCCTGCGCAGTGCGTCCCTGGGTCTGTTGTGTACTGGCAGTGTTCTCGGTGAGTGCCAGCCCTGCCATCTCCTGCTGGTCGCTCCACAGACAGGTGCCAGTTCGGGCCCGGGCCATATCGGCCGCAGAAGGGCTGTGGAGCTGCGGGCGGCGGGCACCCAGACCCAGAGCTGGCTCACTGTGTGCAGCACCATCTGGACTCACAGCCGGGGAGCCTGCCTGCTGCTGCCCCATCCACGCCGCACACACAGGCACAGTATAGGAGAACAGGCAGGGGTGTATTGGAGGAGAGGATGTACAGTGCAAACATGGAGAGCTACAGTTGAAATGGATTGAGTCTGAAACTTGAAATTGGTGGTAGTGTAGTCAGGATGATGAAATTTCAAACTTCATTTAGATTCTGCTTGATCCTTGATACCAGTTTTGACAAAATGATGATGAAAACCACATTTTTATATACAACAGAATATAATTTACAACACAGAATTTAATATTACCACGTGGTCTTACACTTTGAATATACAGTAGATGAAGACAATTCTAAAGCTGCAACTTCTTCAGTATTGGTACTTGCTTAAATACATAGTTTTGATCAATAGTATCTGGGTGTTAACTCTGGTTAGTAGGTCTAGGTTGTTAGAAATATAATGCAAACTCCACTCCACAAATGGACACTTTAGCTTGAACCAAGAGACAAATATACTGAAATCACTCAAAAGCCCATATGTTCAAACAGCCCCAGAAAATAGACCTACTGACTAAACACACCAAGACGAGACAAAACCATCATGTACTTGAATTTACACCATCTCTTCTTATATACAGACAATCATCTGAATTTTCTGAGCCACTGAATTTTGGTTTTCATTTTCTTTTAGCCATAATCATCAACATTTCAAGAAATAAAAGCTTGAATGTATAATGAGTCTGTAATATGTTTGATTTTTTAAATGAGTGACAAAAAATATTGAACTTTGGTTGTCTGTATGTATACAGTCTTTATATATACACCCGTTTTTTACCATCTAAACTACTAGCACAAGAAACAGTTTGGCACAAGTTACTTCAAATAAAAGTAGACGCGGGAGTGAGATAGTGCCGTGGATGAAGTCTGTTATTTGAGGAAGAGCGCAGACTGTTGACACAGCCTGTTTGTCTGTTGTTACCTCCCAGCCAAACTCTCTCCTTTCAAAAGCTGTCACATCCCCAGATCGCCCAAAACTCACTCCATAAAACAACAATTACTTCGCTTGTGCGTGGCCCATTTGGCAACTTTTTTTCACATATACTTTGTTTCAGAGTTAAGACAAAACATACTTTATATTCTTCTCCTCCTTTGTCGGTGGCACCTGTTTTTCTGATTGGGCTGTCACTCACGGAGCGTTATTTGGATCTTTAATTATCTTTGTGTCACTATAGATTTGGCAGGTGCTCAAGCCTTCTGTTATTCTCTTGCAGATTCGCAGCGTGATTTGCTCACTCCGCGTCAAGGCTCGGCGTACGTCACCGATGAGATATGGCGGAAAGCTGGTGAGATTTTTATTTTATTTTATTTGTTAAAGGTTCTGTATTGCGTAGAATTGGCTCTTGTGAGTTTTGAGTCATGATAAAATCATGCCTCGAGTTGTGTTTTGTTTCATTTGCACATGTTTGAGTAACTCTTTATTGTCATGCTGTCTGTATCTCCGAATCTCAAAATGCTCTGTTCCACTTTGAGATGTCATGAAGCGGTAGTTTTTAAGTTAACAGCTACCTTTTACCTTTTTGTTTTGTAGAGACTGACTCAAATCACCCAAAATGATTCTAGTGAGGGTGTGTTTTCTGTTTGAGAGAAGAACTCAGCTTAAACATGCAGGATTTGTGTGTTAATTAAATGCACCTGAATGAAACAAAACACAACTCCAGGTATGTTTTTGATGAGAAAACAACATTATAATTTACATCACAAAATAAAGTAATATGGCAGGGCAGCCACGGGGTCTTAAAAGTCTTAAAAACGTCTTAAATGTCATGTTCCTAAATTAAGTCTTAAATTATGTTGTCCAAGTCTTATTTTGTCACAAAGGTCTTAAATTTAATGCAATGTTAAACAGAGGGAGGAAAAAAAAAAAAAAAACGTGAATGAACGTCTAATTTGGAGTATGAGCAATCAATCAATCAATCAAACTTTATTTGTATAGCACTTTTCATACATTTGAAATGTAGCTCAAAGTGCTTCACATGCAACAGAAAAATTACAATACAATAATTAAAAACAACAGCAACCCCCCACCCCACCCCATTGTTTCATCCATATATACAACAATTTAAACATAAAAACAAAAACATAAAGCTCCTAAAGGTTATAATAAAAAATCAAAATGGAGAGCTAAAATCAAATGGAGACAAACAATACTTTGGTTTGTCTCTGTTGTTGTTGTTGTTGAAAATGTTAAATGGTTGAAGCACTTTGAAAGACAATGTGAGACAAGTCAAGGTTGAAGGGTGAAGTGTTAGTTTGTCTTGTTAGAGATTTTTTCGCCATTTTACAAGCAATGCATACTACTATAAATGAGTTCTAAATGAGATTTTATAATGAAAGTATTTTTTGTTATTTAAAGCAATGAGTAACGGTCATTTTTAGAATTGGATCTGGTGTTTTTTGCCTGCATAATGGGTGTGATCTTGGTCTTAATTTTCATTTAAGTGGTCTTAAAAAGGTCTTAAATTTGGGGTAGTCAAACCTGGGGATACCCTGTACGGGCCTTTACTGTGGAAATATGGACCCAATCCCTGACGAAGAAGTATACAAGAATTGACAATTGTCCATATGTGTTTTATTATTACAGCAAGTAACTCTTTATTTCTTCATTTTTTTTACAGAAGAGGCAGTCAATGAGGTGAAACGCCAGGCTATGGATGAGGTGCAGAAGGCGGTAGCAGAGGCCGAACAGAAAGCTTTTGAGATGATTGCATCCGAACGGGCAAAGATGGAGAAGACCCTAGCCGAGGCCAAGAGGAAAGCCCAAGAGGATGCCATTTTGGTCATCAACGAACAAGAAGACTCCAGCGAGGTGAGGAGGAAATTGCCGTACTAAGGAATAGACTTGATACTCAATGCCGATGATAATAGAAAACACTCTTTATTTAGTCAATAGAATGTGATTTTCAACATTAAATCATAGTAATAATACCCTCGGGGCCTTATTTCTGTGTAATACCTCAGTCATCCAGGTACGTTACATACTGATCCAGGGGCATATACTAGTCTGTGTGGGCTTTTACTTGTTCTCATAAAGCTCAAGATCATTCTAAAGCTATTTAGCATTATGTCATGTGAATGTGACTGTTTTAATATCAGTACTTGCTCAAATCATTATCTAGTTTCAATTCTAGTTTTAGTATCGATTAGTATCTGATTTTTGTTAAGCAGTAAGGGAGATATTGACTTTGCAATGCTGACTGACAAATATACACGAGGGAAATCACAGCAGCTGTATACCGAATACTGTCATTTAGATAATTAACTTTTCGGTCTCCTAGGAACAGGCAGGGGAACTTTTAATTGTGTTTGCGTATGGAAGAAAAGATAATACATTTTGTCAAGAGTTTAATTTAAAAGTGAAATTAGAACAGCCGTTTATTTTGTTGTTGGTTGATTTCATCCTACTCAAGGTTGCCAATTATTCATAGCACAAATGTTTTACCTTCTTTTTGTATTTGGTGACAATAAGTGTTTGTGGATCACATGTGGATTTAAGCAACAGGCTTAATAAGTAGAAACTGAATATCTTCTTACTTTTAACTATTTGCATTTAAGTTAATGTTAATGTTAATGGCATAATATGTAATAGTGGCAACTCCGAATCAAGGCTAAGATTAAAAGAGCAATGCAATCATATCTATGCCTTTCACTGTCAAAAGAATTAGAAGTACATCAGTTAAAATTATGTGATTAAAATGGTTCATCTTAATATGGGTTGTTTTTTTTGTTAAAGTTAAAATGGATTTACCCAATAGACCCAGATTATTTGAGATTATTTCAAGTGTTTTTCAATAAGATTCAATATGTACTGCTTGATATAAACTTGAAAAATGCTAATGTATGTATTATTTCTGTTTTGAAATCGGTAAGAAATGTCTGTGAATTCTAAAATCTAAACTAAACTCAAATGAACATAAGCATTTTGATTTCAAGTCATTTCAATCTATGCTATATGATGAGATATGTTATGTTGGAATTGTAAAACAGTGAATTCTTTTATAATTTTTGGTGGAAAGATATTATTTATTTTTTTATTTAGAATGCCCTACAGTAAGGCATTAAACCTAGAGTATCTCTCTAAATGGAGACCAGGAGGTGACACTACCACTTTATCTATGACTAAGCCCAAAATTACTCATATCAAGATAAATATTTTGATTTATTTTGATGTCATTTTCATCTGTACTAGATTCATTCAATGCTTATTTTTATTTATTTGCTTTCTTTGAGCGCCTAAACTTACATCTGTGCTCCATTTCTTCAGTGTTGCTGGAACTGTGGAAGGAAAGCCAGCGAGACGTGCAGCGGGTGCAACGCGGCGAGGTACTGTGGCTCCTTCTGCCAGCACAAGGACTGGGAGAGACACCACCTCATCTGCAGCCCGGGCCTCCAAGCTCAGCCCAAAACCCTCTCCGCCATCTCCACCACCACCAGCAGCAGCAGGGCGGCGTCGGTCTGCACCTCCGCCCCCCTCAGCATCTCCGCGGTCAAAACTCTCGACAGCGCCCCCGCCGCATCGCCAGTGGCAGAGAAGTCATCTGTCACTTCCAGATCTTCCACCCCCTCCACCCCAGCGTCCAACACCGAGACGAACGGACACTAAAAATGACAGATGAGCGCCCGTTTTTTAATTTTTTTTCAAACGTGGAAGCTATGAATCAGCAAGGACATGGAAGAATTTGCGGGTGAAGTTGGGATACCAGATAAGTTTCCGCAAACTCCTTGGCAGATTTTAAAAGAGACGCTTTTGAGGACTGTTTGAGTGATATGTCAACTGGGACTACTCCGGGATTTTGGCATCGATTTCATCCATTGGACGAGCAGATCTCAGTAGCAGATGGAAACGTGCTTGTTATCGTCCCCCAAAAAATAACTTTGAAAAATACCAGGAGGGTGGAAAATTCGGATCTATCTTTTTGACTGTGAAAGGATGGCATATTGAAAAAGACATTTCGAAAGACCAATATTTTTAATTGTGCATAATTTTAAGCTAAAGAGGTGACAATGGTTCATTTAAAGGTGCAATATGTAGCTTTTCTGATGGAGGGTCTGCTACTTCCTTGTCTCTATGGTGAATGTTCCACAGTATGGTATTAAACATATCTATATTGCATTTTTCCCAGGCCCGTCAACAGAAATTTGGGGGCCTGGGGCAAAAAAATCCTCAAAATCTAATATAATTCTTAGCCCCTGATATGTTTTATTACAGATTTTTTTTTTTATTGCAAAAAAAAATCTTGAAAAACATACATTCTTACTATGAGTGGGCTCACCTCTCCACAGATTTGCCTTGTAATTTGGCTGTAGATGAAAATGAAGTTAATGTCATATTTTAGAACATTAAAATAACAAGAACATGGCAGACCTCCCAACCAGAAAAGACCCATAGTGCGTCTTTAAAAAGTGTAATTATACCAGACATAAGCATCTGTCCTTGTATGTATATTTGCTTGCCATTACTTCCATTATTGTGTGTCCGTGGATATTGTTAAGTATATGATTACTTATGTCGAAGCAATATTACGACTAGAAAAAATTTCAGGTTCATGACGATATTTTGACAATTTTCTTTTTTTTTTTTTCCTGCATCACCAAAGTTTGAATTGTAATTTCCAAAATGTATAGTTGTGTTCTGTCACCAAAAACATAGTAATCGAATAGACACATTTACAAAGATGCAGTTTTACAAGGGTTTATAACAGGGTTTCTCCCAATACAAAATCTCAGGAGCAAGATAATGTATTTGTACAGCTCATTTTTATCCTCATTGGATCTATGTTGAAATGTTTAGTGATTTTTCTGCTGTTCCACTGTTCTCGTTTTTCCATTGTTGTATTGTATATTGACTTTGTACAAATTCTATGAGAGAATGCCTTTATTTTGTGAGCCACAGTCCCCCTTTCTTGTTCATTCAATACACTCTTTTGTTATGAGGCGTAACTTCATATTAAAAGATGTCTTGACAATAAATATAAAACAAAAATACAACTTGGTGCTTGGGTTTTTACTGTGGGCAAAAAGACAATGCATTATGAATCATGTTTGGGGCAGAGTCAAAGCAGGACATACTGTAGCTTTTAGTCTGGCATTTAAATAATTAACTTGTGAAGGTGCTTGGAAACTTCAAAATAATATTACTAGAAGTACAAAGTAGTGGCCTAAGAAATAATATTTTTACTCCTACTTGGGTATTTGGGAAAAGTACTTCTCATGTAAGAGTTACTTAAAGAGTAGATGTCAGGAGTAACATCTGATTTATAATTTGAAGTTCATGTATTTGGGAGGACAAAACACTCAATAATGCACAACATCTGGTATTTTCAGAGGGTAGACACAACAATGAGACAAACTAAATCATCTCTGAAGGAGTGGCGCAAGAAACACAAATGTTCAAATTATTTCATATTGTTAACATATTTAAGCTTTTTGTCATTTGTCCTCACAGTGGGAGTAATCTTACTTCAATAAAATAATATTACTCAAATAGGAGTAAAAGTATTCTCTTAGAAAAGTAGTCTGAAAAGTACAATTTCATAAAAAAAAAGTTGATAAAGTAAATGTAACTGAGTAGTATCCTTCTACTAACATAACAAAATTGTGCTAGTGTCAGTGTTTTTAAGTACTTTTTACTTTAGTGTTTTTTAAGAAATCATTTCTGATACTTAGTGTTTATAGACAGTCCATTTTTAAAGACATTTATATCTTTGATGCATTCACATACAAACAATGAATATTATTACCTCACCCGACTTTTGTGGATATCCCAGGGTTCTGTATCAATGAGTATGACTGAATGAAAAATAAAGGCATAATTTTAATATGCACAAAAGCAAAAGACAATTTAATTCTGTAAACTGGACAAATGTTTTGGAGTGAAAATTTCTCATCAGTGTGGCTTCTTCAGTTCTGACTGGAAGTTCTCTTTATGCAATAATGTGTTTTACATTAAGATCAGAGAACATATGACTAACTGTTAAGGTTGGGGAAGTCTTTCTTAAAATACAGCGTCTAATTACTATGTTGCCACTAGATGGCGCCATAACACAATGATCCATGCCAGTCAGTCAATGACATGAGCCTGGTTTTAGAGAGTTTAGGGAATTTACACAATTAATAATTTGGCTTCATTATGCAAAACATCTCACATTTATTTCAACTAACGTTAGAATGTTGTAATATTTAATACACACAAATTCTAACATGTTAAAATGTAGCTGAATTCTCTTCTCTGTTTATTTTGTTTCTAAAAATTATATAGCAATATATATAGTAATTATATAGCGAACATAATAATAATAATAATAATAATAATCACAATAATAATAATCATCATCATCATCACCATCATCATCATCATTATCATCACCATCATCATCATCATTATCATCATATTTATTGGCTGTAGACCTTCATTTAAAAAAAGATCCATGCCATTTATTTGCAATTTGCAACAACTAAATCTTAATTCTGTGAAAAATGTATTCAAACCATCTGTTTTACCCAAATAGCACAAAAAATGACCTAAAACAAAACAGTAAATACATATAGTTTCACTAATGCGAGAAGAAGATGAGTGGGATCAAGAGTGACTCATGATGTTTTCCTGAAATAACATGTCATATTTGTGAAGCCTTGTGTGTTTTGTTTTAGAGCTCATATTTAATTGCTTGGATTTCATGATTCATCTGCGCTGGTCTCTCCCCCACACTGCCACTGCACTACCCTACGTGATTTTCTAACCACATAAGAAAATGTTAATTATGTCAAGTCACTCTCTCTGACCCGCTAATGAGTTAAACAAACCTGTTTGTCCAAGCATCTGTGCAAGATTTCAGAACAGTTGACAGTTTTTCTTTGTTTATTTTCTTTGATTATTTTATGTGCCAAGGACATGACAGTATACACACAACAACTGCTAGTAAAAGAATGCTATAGAAAGACTACTTTATAGCAAGAAAATCTCCAAGGAAACGAGCAGGAATGTTACACAGTGCAGGTTTAAATAAAAAAATAGTACACAAGCCAGCAACTAAGAGAATATTTGACAGTAGAATTCATAACATGTTATTGTCGTCTTGAATACAGCACACATTGAAACATACATTTAAAGCCACATGGAGGAACATTCGTAGTAGGAACATCTCTGTGGAGACAAGCAGGAATGTTAAACAGTGCATGTTTAAATAAAAATATTATGCAAGGTAACAAGTAAGAGCATTTTTCACTATAGCAGATTTGAGTTCATAACATTTTTATTGTAGTCTTTAATACATGATTATAGGCTAAAATAATCCAGCTATAGGAACATACATTTAATGCCAGAAAATCTCCATGGAGACAAGATTAAATAAAAAGATTATCCAAACCAACAACTAAGAGAATATTTCACTGTAGCATGTTTATTGTAGTCCTGAATACAGTATACAGAATAGTGCAAGCAAAAGAATGTAAACAGGGACATAGTGTTGCTGGACCTTGAAACAATCCGATCCACTTTATGTATATAGCACATTTTAAAAACATGACAGTTTCCAAAGTGTTGCACAGACATATGAATACAATAAAAGACAGTAAATCATAAATAAAAACAATAAATAAAAAGTGTTAAAATGCATAAAGCTAAAAATGATTTAAAAATGACTAAACAAATAAATAAAACACATAGAGGAGCACACAACTCACGTAGTGTTAAAAGCGAGAGAGTAAAAGTGGGTCTTAAAATGAGACTTAACAGGCAACACTGTGGGGGCTGTTTGGACATGAGGGGGCAGAATGTTTCAGAGTTTGGGGCCAACCACAGAGAAGGCCCTGTCCCTCTTAGTTTTAAGTCTCGTCTTAGGCACCACGAGCTGGAGCTCGCCCTCAGACCTCAGAGCGTGTGCGGGGGTGTAAATCTGGATGAGGTCCAAGATGTACTGTGGGATCAGTCAGTTCAAAGCTTTAAAAACAAACAATAAAATCTTAAAATCAACTCTAAATCAAACAGGAAGCCAGTGCAAAGACACAAGGTTTTATGTGATAGGTAGAAGCTTTTTAGCCAGGCTGGCAGCACCTATTGTCTCCACTCAATTTCATTTCTCTCCAGCGACTAGGTCAGGAATACACTAGACGATTTGCAAGAACCCCGGGAGTTGTAGACCACACACTGGTCAATCAGCAAAGAGCTGTGAAGTCATGATGTCAAACTCAAGTGCCTGTCTGGGTCCCTTTTGTGGTACAGCACAACAGTAAACAAAGCAGTCGAGATGGATGTAAATGAAGCCATACATTCTGTGTTGGCAACAATTCCCAAGATTTTAAGCCAGAACAAAGAGAATGTTTGGTGATTTTTATCAAGGGTAAAGAGGTTATTGTCCTTCTTCTTGGCGCATTACATACATCACAAGCAAATAGCAGCGAGTGGTTAAATAAAAAAAATTACCTGCCTACAGTCGAGTGAACAAATTCTAATGCTGCAAAGTTAGACGGTTTCCACGAAGTGAAACCGGTTGATGAATAGAAGGTTTTAGGTTCAGTGTGGGAATGGTAGCATTGATGTAGCACTGTTATTGCTGTTATAGTGAGTTGAAACCTGTCCAACCACATAATATCTTTGTGTCTCTGACCAAAGCACTTCCCAATCATATTCTAGTCCAGGCTAAATGTATGCATTGTATTAAAAGAATATGATAGGATGGACATCTGAGATAAAACCTGTGTCCCAATGCCTAGTGAAATAAAAACACCATGATCATGTAGAGTGGGTTAATACAAACATTTTAAGACCAAAATGACAAGTCTCACTGCAGCAGTTGCAAAGAAAGAGCTGACAATTTTCCAATGTAAAGCCAATTGGAGCCAGAGTCGATGGAGCCGGAAGTGCCCCCATGAACACATCCTATATGGAGCGGGTTAATATACAAGCCAACGTCACTGTAGCAGACTTGAATTCATAACAAGTCTGTTGTAATAGGAAACGGTTTTTATTATAAAGCCAACCTTGCAGAGAAATGCAATAACTCCAGGTATTGTGCTGTGATAATAAAGGGAGACACCACTGAATACAATAGAATGAACTGATTTAGGGCAGTAATATCAAATATATGCCAACTGATGTATAAATGCATATTGATGTTCTTTTCTTGGTCCTTCACAGTCTCAGTGCTCCCTACACACTGATCTGATGCAGCTCGCCATCTACAAGCAGCAGAGGGAATTACCTCAGGGGAAACAATTAAACTGCAATAGAAATGAACGTGATTTGAAGGGGAAAAGGCTTAGAAAGAACGATGATTAATGGGCAGAGACAGTATTTATAAATGGACATAGCTAACCAGCTAGCCTCTGTGTCTGAATAGGAAGTGAGCATGGGGGTGCTTCTCTCTCCATCAACTCTGTTTCCAATTGACTTTACATTGAAAAATTTTCTCCCCTCTCTCTGTAACTGTTGCAGTGAGCTTCTTCATTTTGGTCTTAATATGTTCGTATTACCCGTTGTGCATCATCCTCTACATAGTGTTTTTATTTAGCTATTTTGTACGTAAATAAATTCCAATTTCTATTATGGATCTGCATTGTGAGCTTCATTTGACTGGAGCCGAACGCCATGGGTGATGTCATACTCACTTAGTTCACTTCTTTATACAGTGTATATGTTTATGCACATAAAAACTGCACAGGGTTTTCTATCTGTGACATCACAAACCAGGGAAATTTCAAACACATAAAAACATTACTCCAGGAACAATATTGTAACATTAAAATCAAATCAAATATTTTGCATAATATGTGTCCTTTGAATATTATTCATTTTTAATAACTCTAATTCAGGGGTTTCCAACCTTTTTCCTCTGGTGAGCAACCTTTATAAAATGAAAATGCCAGAGAGCTACTCATTTCAGCGGTCGCAAGAAACTGAGAAAGTACAAAGAAGGGATATGTCAAGCTTTAGACGGGGTACAGTTAGATGCCCTTTAAACATA